TTTCTTTTAATTACGATGTTTTATTTTAACAAGACTACCGTAATGCGATGGTATGAGAATCGGAAAGTAGGTTTGTGGAACATTTTAAAAAATATGAAAGTTGTTTCAATTGTTTTCTTGATAAAGGTACCGGAAAAGTAACGTGAAAGTAATCTGTAAGGTAACGATCAAAATAGTCCGTTACTCTTCAGCGAAAGTACTTTGTAACGTAATTCATTACGTTTGAGGCTCGGTAATTTGTAAATGCAATCCCTTGCATTTTTCAAGTAACGGGCAGAAGTCTGGCTAAAAAGTGTAAGATTGTAGGGCGCGAGGCATAGTAGCGCCTGCCGAAGTGTTCCTTGCGTTCGAATCTCCCTGGGCATTTGCTCCGTAGCGATCTATTTCCATCGGGACCCCTGCGCTGGTTCGCGGCGGCCGTTTAAGCACTTGATATTCGGTGCAGTTTGGTGGCTATAACTGTTATTGTGACATGTTTTTAGCGCAACAGCGCTTTAAAAAGTTAGGATTGTAACAAAAAAGGAAAAAGCAGTGATTCCCAATATGTCTCGCTTGTAATGAGACCAACTTTTTAGAAAGCAGTTTTTAATATTTAAAAAAAATGTAAAACTACTTCTTAATAAAATTTATAAGTGCAAAACTAATGGACAGAAAAGAAGCGAAAAATGCTCACCCACTTTGAGGTGGTCTATCATATCCCAACTCGATTCTTGCTGGTGTTACCCATATGTTCTGCATTAACAAAATCGATTGAGATCGCTCAAAAACCTTCCACCGAAGCGCGAATGTTAGCTGTCGGAACTTGCGCAAACAGGTTTGTGGGGGACGAGCAGGGAACCTTCTCCGATAGGCTCCAGCATGGTTCCGTAGCGAACTCCGTGCTTTTGGGCGTTTCCTGATGATGAAAATAATATTACTAATACTAGTAATAATAATGATAATAACTTTATTGCTCCGGTTGGAGACTAGTCGAAATATAATGCAGGTCCGTCAAAGCCATCAAGGGCTCGTGGCTCACAACCTATGTTTAAATATCAGAAATTGAAGCATTAGGAAAATAAAACTTAAGCGTTGTAGCAGCATCAAGTAAAATATTGGAAAGAAAAAGGTGGAGCATCGCAACGGCATCAAGTAAACTATTATAAAAAAAAGCTTATGCGTCGGAGTAACACGAGGACTACTAATAAAATAAGTCAGTTTTGTCACAGTCTTGACATAAGTTCGTGAAGTTTCAGAGGTTAGTCATGCGACACCAAAATGTCAAATATAAATACAAACAGCATGTCTTCTAAACCACCAACCATTCTGATCAATTAGCTCTAGTATATACATATATCTATCAACCTTCAGTCACTTCACAAAGTTAGAAAAAAGTAAAAAGTACAAGAAAACGAAGAAACAATGCGTTTCTTCGTTTTCCCCAAGTCAAAAATTAAAAAAAAGTATGAAAAGAAAGATGAGGGACGTTTAGTATTTTAAACCCGCTAAAAAACCGCAACGAACACAGAAAAAAAACACGCCGTTTAAAGTTTTTTTAGTTTTTTTTAAGTGAGGTTTGTTTTCTAAGTCGGATGGTAGCGAGTAAAAATCCAAGGAACATGTGTTTGCCATAACGTGTGTAACACGTGGTAACAAGAAACCGATTGTCTAGCCGCAGTTGATGTGATGTTGGACGGAGTGTTTCAAATTCGTCATTCCAGTAGTGGGTGAGTACAGTCATTTCAAACAAAAGAGACTGAACATCGGGCATGAAGAGGGCTTGAAAAGGATCGGGACAAGTTTTCATGAATTTGCAAAGAAAGTGACGCAGAATTACTTTTAAGATACTGCTGACTTTTTTGTGCCATAACGCGGAGCAGTCGCCAAAGAGTATTATGCCATAGTGGAGTATGCAAGAAGCTAACGAGTTAGCCACGAGTTTTCGGATACCAAATTGCAGAAGGGCTTGATATTGTAAAATGAGCAGGAAACACACCTTAGTTTGGAACATAGTATCGTGAAATGTGAGTTCCATGAAAGATCTGAGTAAAAAGGGATCCCAATGTATTTTACGGTGTTTGAGTAAAGAATTGGAGCATAGCAGCACGGCGATGCATTGTGATGTGCGGAGCAGAAGAGGCATGTCTAAAGTAAGTCTTAAGTGGATTGTGAAAGAATATAATTTGTTTTTGAGATGTTTATGTCGATCAGATGTTTGCCAAACCAGTTCATTAATTCGATGGAGCATTTATGTAGCATTTTCATCTCTGCAGTAAAAGAAAGGTTACTCGTCAGCAGAAGAGTGTCATCAGAATATTGATAGATGGTACAGTTTGAGATATATTATGTCATCCAACCCAGAGGTATAACTTCTAGATTTCTGTAACTGAATTCAACTGTGTAACTGAATGGAACTGAATCATGTTGTGTTAATTACCCAGCGTTTCGCTGGCGGCTGGGTTACATGCACAATAGAGTCCATACAACAGTTTGAGGGCTCTTTCAGTTTTATTTTGGGTTCAACTTGAATATGCTGTCAGATAGACTATTGAAAATGTCTGGGACGTAGAATCGTCGATATTTTCTGACACTCTTGCACTTCAAATCGGGTTATATGTCTGAATGCTCGGCGTGCGTTGTATGAAGTTTTGAAACTGGTACTCGAGACATATTTTAGAACAACCATTTCACTAAAGGGTGATTGCCGTAAAGAGAGATTCAGTTCAGCAAATTTTCTTGTTCTGATTTATGTCCGAGTCAATACGTTTAAACATCCCGTGCAGAATATTATCGATCTGCTTGTTTCATAATTCCGAGCATCCACCAATTATTGTAATTTCTTATTTGAGGTCACTGTGTTGATACTGAATTAATAACCACTTTGTTACGTTAAGAAAGACAAAAGTTTTTATATTATACCTCAGATTAGAAACATGCCTAAGGTTTTTTTTTTCTTTTTTTTTGCAAACAGTTGCTAGATGCGAATTGCACTACTAGTTAGTCAAGATAAAACATAGGTACATAACATTTCCATAGTAGTAAACAGGGGTACAGTTACATAACAAACACCATGAACAGTGTAGGAACAGGCGCCGATGGCGACTCCGCTCAACCGGAAACGGGCGCGTAAGAGCTGCGCTCTAAAAGTAATGGTGACGAAACTGAAGATTGTGCAGCTCCGGATTTCAAGGTGACTTCTGCACTACGCGTTTTTTTTGTGCAAACTTGTTGAGTCCGTTTATTTAAATAATCTTTGAGTAGTTCCGAAATGGGTCAGGGAATTTAACGTGATTACGTTTTTGTAAGAGAATGGCGTGGCTAACATTGTCAACTGCTTTTGACACTACGACAGAGTGCACATGTGAATTCATTCGTTTAAAATGCATAATGGAACTTATCTGTAAAATCTTCAAGCAATGGTTGTGTTCGTCTCCTGCTGACAAATCCGTATTGGTTGGCAGATATGATGCTAAAATTATCAGTTCCAAAAATGGGCCGCGGGAGCCAACGTGCTTAAGTTTTTGTAAACAAATGGTGAGGCTAACACTGACAAATGTTTTTGAGACATCGATGAAGAGTGCCCATGCGAATTTATTCGTTTTAAACGCATAATGTAACTCATCTCTAAATTCTGCAAACAATGGCTGTGTTCCTCCCCCGCTTACAAAGTCGTATTCGGTGTCTTCGATGATGCTAACATTATCAAGGAACTGATTCATAACTTGTAACGGATGTTTTTCTGATATCTGATTTATGCAAGGTAAAATGAAGATGAATCGGTAATTTTTTAATTGTCCTACGATCTCCTTCTTCGTGAAGTGGCGTAACATTTGCATTCTTTAGGACAGTAGAAAGTTTTCAATCGGCCATGAAACCATTTAGCGTGTGTAAAAGACGCTTTTAATCAAGGCCAACTTTCGGCAGCGTCATTTAGCTTTATTATTATGAGCCCCAGCTAATTTTTTTGGGAGCTTTAAACTAAACAATGTACTCCTCAGATCATCCTTTGTAAATTACGGAAGAAAAGCTGAATCAAGCATTGAGCTCACTGAGGTAATTGAAAATGTAACGTTACCTGGCAGAACTCCTGAAGACTTCGCAAATAATGTTGTAAAACTATCGGCAAGCGAACACGTAATTGTACCAAATGTCTTTTCTAGCGCCTCATCTACCGGGTTTGCGGCCTTATGCTCACGTAGTCGGTTAAGCAAATACCAAGTTCGCGTAACATAAGATCTTGCAGAACGGAACTGGAATTGAAAATAATTAATTTTGGCTGCCCATTTGCGCGATTACACGCGATGAGAGATTCAGTTTTCAATTTCCTATTTTGAGGAGAACGGCTGTCTTTCTTTCATAGTGAGTCTTTGTCCTGGATAGCGCGTAAAATTTCAAAATTCAACCAAATGTATTCCTCGCGACGTTTCCAGATTATGATAATCTTTTTATGTTTGATTGGTTAAAGGAGTCCAAATTTGTGGGAAAGTATAGTAGACCTTTTTAGAGTTTTTTTTTATTATTATGAGGTCTTGCCGATGAAAGACCGAAACCAGTTTGTCAAATTTTTTTTTGATCTAAGATTTCGAGTTGCCTTTTTGATAGAGTTGCTTGTTCAAAAAAGCTTTCGGACGCAACATGGGAAGCTATGAAATAATGATCCGTTAGCTTTTGTGATATTACTGCTGAAGTAATGATCGAATTTGACGTACCCAAGTAAATGTGATTTATGCAACACGTGACCGTTTTATCATCCAAAAGTTCTTCTCGGGTTGGCGTGTGAATCATGTTTGTGAATCCCACATTCGACAGCACGCTGAGAAAGTCACGGACATTTGATCTTGAAGTTTTAAAGGAGTCTATATTGAAGTTCCCCACTAGGCAGACTTTCTGGACAGATGATAGACCAAGTGGTATTGTCCTTAGATCGTTAACAAGAAAACCCAGAGTTGTCGAAGGGGGCTCATGAAACGCCGAAAGTGACGAGGAGTAGTGTGCGTTCTAAATGTTTACGTAACTCATAGTTAGCAAACTCAATATCACTAACTTCGCTCAGCCGCTGGTCCCTCACCAGAACTCCTACACCTCCACCTTTTGTCCATTCACGAGAGCGAAAGAAGCTTTGGTAGCCAGACAGAGAAAATTGGTTGCACAAGTTATCATCGATGTCAATTTCTGTTAAAACTAAAAACATCAAAAGCTCTACGACAGAAAGTTCAATAAGTACCATGAACTGATCCCAGTATTTCCGTAGACTCCTTATATTTATGCGGAATAACGTAAAAGATCCTTGAGAATTAGATCATAAATATTTTTGTAATTACAATGAATTCGGACACTTAAAAAAACCTTTCTTCTATGACCTTAGACTATCCCTTCAATGCCCCCTCTACACAAAACATTGGAACAATAGCTGAACCCACGATTAATAAATAATAATAATTATAACCTTTGTCATTATTATTCCGTTTTTGCGACACTTCCCTCACTTTGATGCTTCGAGGGCCTACCTTATAGCTTGTTTGATTCTCAATACAGTTGCTTTCAACATAAAAATACTGACATAAAAAATGATCATTCTAGGAAACACAATAAGTACAGCCGCACCGTTTATAAGAATATATTACCAGCGGCGCGATGGTGAAAGCCGGCGTCTTGTCCAACAACGCTGCGATCGCCTCACAATGGCTGCCACCGGAGAAGCGCTAGTCCAGTCCGTGGGTAAAGGTCCGACCGACAATTGAGTTCCCCACCGGCATCAATCGCACGCCTGGTCGATCGACCCGCATGCCAGAAATTCCTGGATTCCTCCTCTTCATACCGTACTGCCCACATAGCGGGAAGGCCCCCACAGCTGCCATGTCCAGCGGCCTAGCTGTCAGCGACGTCGTCCTCCGAACCTGCTTCTGGAAAGCGATGGCCTCTCAGTGTGCCCGGCCATTTTGGGTGAATCACAAAGGACTTTGGTGGACGCAGCATACTACGCTAAACCGAGACCAGGAGCGGGCAGCAACGGGAGGACTTATATTGCCATGACGGTGATTAATAGATTTTCGAGCTGGCTCGTGTCACCCGGCCTGTTCAGTTATAATTGGGGCTATTTTTGACCCATTTATCAGTAATCGTTAATGTGCTTCCGTGAACGTTCATTTATCAAACAGGCGGAAGAATAAACCCTGCGGCCTATTTTACTATTCTAGCTATCACACTACGGTGTGCCCCTGTCATCAACAAAATCATATATTTCAGTTTGAGGGCACTGACGTCCACGCTAGAGCTCTCCTTCTTAGGTATCATACATCTGACATATTTAGATGATAGTTCAGCCACTCGTGCCATGTTATTCACAGTCCGCTGTAACCTCCGCTGCATGTATCGTAGCGGAGCAGCCATTGCAAGTTTTAGCAGAGCATTTGATACCCGCTGGAGATCATAGCGTTACGAGTGCTATTACAACTCCATTAATGACAAAAGGAAGGTATATCAAGCAATTCTTAGTAATCTTCTGTTACAGTCGCTGTCCTCATGTAATAGTTACTTTAATTGTAAAAGTACAGCAGTTTACTTGTTTTATAAGCAAATGAGTATTATAGACATAGGAATATTATACATGTAATTTAATACAAACGGCGGTCAAGCTATGCAAGCGAATCAAATAGGAGTACAGTTCCAAGTCACAAAAACCAAGCTTCCGGAATGACTACAATCGTAGATCTTCTGTTATAATACACGACTCCGACATTCAAGTACTACGGTAGAGCAGACTATCTACATAGAAAAGGAGCTTAAAAATTAAGAAGGTTTACAAATCTCTTTAACGCGAAACTGGAACGCAGCTCTTGAGGGTGAGGAGGGGAGGGTACGGAGGAAAGTATGCCCCTCCTTCTGCGTACCCTCTCGTCCTCCTCTGTTCCTCGTCCTCCCCTCCTTTTCTTCTCCTCCTCCTTATTTCCTGATCGTCATGCTTTCTCCTCTTCCTATCGACCCTCCTCCTCTCCCCCTCCTCCTCTCTCCTCCTCCGCACCTTCCCCTCCTTCTCCTCCGCACTTGACGTCAATTTTCACGCTTAATCTAGCTGAGAAACTGAATTTGTTCATAAGCGATGTGACGCCAAGTCACGTGACGTTACTTTCGCGGCTAAATTTAGCGAGGAAACCGATTTAGTCTTGAGTTCATGTCACTTTAATTTTCAGCAAAATTTAGTGGGGAATTGAATTGCTGTTCAGGTCACGTAATGCCAATTTTCCCGCTAAATCAAGCGAGGAAACCAAAGTTGTACGTAGGTAACGTAACACCAATTTACGTGGCGTTATTTTCCTTGCGAAATTTAGTGGGAAAACTCAATTGGTGTTAAGGTCACGGGATGTCAACTTTTCAGCTAAATTTAGCACGGTTAGTATAGGGATTGAAAAGAGGGAAAAAAGCAAGATCATTGGCAGGAGAATTCATAAGGAAGCGCATTGTTGTTTGAAGCTAGGTCAGGAGCATGGAAGAATAAGATATATATGATAAAGTATAACAAAATGATACACCGCGTGCGGTATGCCACAAAGACAAGGCAATGGAACGCGTGGTATTGAGGTGCACAAGGTTTGCTCCCGCGTTCCCGATGGGGGCGACGGATTTGACCGGAGACGAGAACGAAATGATGAATAATAAAGGCATTAGAGTAATAGAAAGACTATTTGAAGACTGATGTAAATTAGACGGGGAGATTTTACTGGCGTACAATTAACTAGAAAAGCGGGGAACAGGTGGGAAAGATGAAAATTGCACTAGAAATCACAAGAAACAAAAGTATGATTCCTCTTCTCGCCCTTCCACATTTGTCTTTTTGTAAATATTATCAGGCACTGCGGGATATCACCAGAATGACCTTCGGGGGACCAGGCAGAAAGGTGAAAGCATCGCTCCGCGCCTCAGGGGATTCGCCTATTTTCCTAGGGCTAAACCTCGTCGGCTTTACCCAATAGCTTGCCCAAGGCAGGGTTGATACTTTTGGCCGGAGCAACGCGGGAGGGATCGTTGGCGCATGCGTGATGCAGCCGTTAATAATCATCCATCCATTCATTCATCCATCCATCCATCCATCCATTCATTGCCGCAAAATTCATACACACGCCGCAAAATTCTCTCGTATCCGCCCACTCGCTCCCATCTTTGGGTGATTCTTTCCTCGCGACGAAAGTGGCCGAGCATAAGGCAGCTTCTTCCTCGCACAGCACGAATACTCTTAGAAAAAACGGTATATATGTTCCTACATTGAGGGAGGAACGATCTTGTTACCTACGTTCTTCACAAATGGAGGCACGTTTGTCGCATAAAACAAGGGAGCAAAGATCCTCACTCTTCATCTATTATGGCTGCCCCGAATGGAGCAAATTGAGCCCAGTAAGGCTTAACGAAGCCGCTGCGTCTATTGTCGATATCTGCAGACAACGCTGCAGCGGTTAAGCCAAAAATAGTTCCCCCCCCCCCCCCCCCCCCGGTGCCTGCAAGCAGCTATCAGAAGCGCGTGATAAGACAGCCTCTATTTTGAATGAGTATTTTTTCAGTCTGTACGCACGATAGTTTTCCTCTTCCCTCATTCTCTACCACGTATATAACAATGGAGGATATCGATTTTTTTCCCTCAGGGCTAACCAAGCCATTGACCGTTTACGCCATAACTCAGCCGCAGGGAGTGACGGTGTTCCCCCTGGCTTCTTACTCATAACCAAAGATATTAGTTCCGTAATACTAGAACGTTTGTTCCCGTTTTCGACTATAACATTAGTCACTCCACATGATTGGAAAATTGCTTGCATTATATGTATATTTAAATCTGGTAGCCCAAATCTTACATCAAACTACAAGCCCAATCACTCCCCTGCATAACTTGTAAATTTATGAAGCACGTTAACGTCTTTCAAGTAATTAACTAGCTCGTTCAGAATAATCACCTACATTCAAGTCAACATGGCTTCCGCAAACACTTTTCTTGCGAATCTAAACTTGTCTCCGTCTCCACGAAAATTTCAACGAGTCAATTGCCACTCATACCATTTTTAGACTTGGCCAATTCACTCGATACAATACCTCAGCAGCGTTTACTTTAAAACATTTTGCAGCCTAATACTAAAAAAAATGTAAGACATTTTAAAGACTTGAACTCTTCACGTTTACCAGTTCAATCAGGGGTCACCCAGGGTAGTGTTCTTGGCTTCCTACCCTTCCTAATATACATAATCGACCTGCCATATTTTGTTACTTTATCTGTACGGGTGTTCGCGTATTACTGCGTCATTTACCGCCCTAATATAAATTGCGACGATCTGTGATTACTACAATACGATCTTGGCAGCGTTTCTCGCTGGTGCAAAACGTGGAAAATGCACATTAACGCTTCAAAAACAAAAGTAATTACGTTTATATGCAGAACTATTCTTCATGAGGCAAGGTATACGTTGAACTTGACCAGCATAGAACATGTGTTTTCTTACAAATATTTAGGCCTAACAACTAAGGAAGACCTAACCTGAAGTTTTCACACCGAAACCATACAAAAAGATACGGCACGAACTTTGTGTATTAAATAAGAAATTTGCACCAGGCCTCTTAGCAGAGTGAACTCATAGCATATAAAGCACTTGCCCGCTAAATATTAGAATATGGAAGTATCTTCTGGAACCCTCAACAAAGCTAATTAGTGAACAGTCTAGACTCCTTACAAAATAAACGGTCACGATTCATTCATCACAGACATTCACCCATGACGGGTGCTTCACAACTCATGCCAGAATGTAATAATTCGCCTGCCACGACGTAGAAAACTATCTCGGTTGCGCTTCTTTCACAATATGTACAAGAATCTGCCACAACAAAACTCCATATACTGCCATCCTCCATTGTATATATCTCAAAGGTGTGATCATGAAGTCAAAATTTAACAATTACAATCCTGAAGTGATCAACATAAAGTTTCTCCGCCTTCACTGTACATCAAAGATTGGAACTCACTTCTGTAGAACTTCGTAACTGTTAAGGACCCACTTTTATTTCGTTGTACGTGCAAAAGGCTTTTTTTTGGCAATGTGCCCACTTGTGCTTCCGTGCCTCTCGTTTTTTACACCTATATTGCGAACTACGATCAAAGTGCCGCCATCGAAACCTTTAATGTACACTAGGATAATTTATTAGATA